CGAGCAGACACAAACCCGGCCCGGCCCCGCTCGGCCGCGGGCACTTTCCCCGCGGCTGCAGTTCCGGAGAGTGAAAATACAAGAAGCAAGAACCACAAGAAAAACATACATTAGCTTAATCTACTAGGAAGCATGAAGACAAGCCAAAGGTTAAAAGCAAGCAAACAAACCTCTAAACTCAAACAAATATTTCAGTACGCACAAACTCAAGAATATGCATATAGGCCGATAACATAACAGTACAATAAGAACATAGTTTAAGTAAACGATATGCAAATAGCCAAGCACCTCAGCACAGGATTTTATCCCTTAACAAACTTCTAAAAAAATCTTAAATACTCAGCCATGTTTCAAAAAGGACAATCCAGTCACTGCAGGCAGCATCAGTGGCAGGATGTAGTGCAGAGACTTTTCCCCTGAACACCCAGCCCAGCGCTGGCACTGGGGATGAACAGGCACTGAGGTGACCCTGAGAGTCAGTGCAAGGCACAGGGTGCAGCTGAGGAAGGACAGCGCTGTGCTGGGCTCACAGCTGGAGCTGGCACTGCCCAGAGTGGACAAGGTCCTTTCTGCAGCCCTGTCACAGGGCAGCTTGGGCCTTGCTGCAGACATACGGCCGCTCATTTGAGCAGTTCTCACTCCTGAATTTATCATCAGCCAGGTACACACACTGGGAATTGCCAAGCACAGGAACCCTGCAGGGAGGAGCAGAGACAGCGCTGGTTCCCAGGGGAACACCTTGTGCCCCTGTCCCCCCAGGCCCTGCCCGGCTCCCCGGCACTCACCAGGAGCTGTAGCTGCTGCCGTCCCCCCAGTGCAGGCGCTCGCCCCGTCTGCGCAGCCCGATCCAGTAATCCACGTTCCCGCGGAGGCGGAAGAGCAAATCCTGCCCAGGAGAGAGGAGTGGGAGCTGCCCCGGCCCCTCGGGGGGACACGGGCCCGGGGCTGCCCCCGCACGCCGGGGCTCCTTCCCTGCAAGGCCCCGGCACAGGGCTGCACCCCCAGCCCTACGAGCACCCAGCCCGGCCCAGGAGCACCCCCAGGCTCCCCTCAGCCACCCCACACCGCCCGCAGCCCCTCACTCACCATGGCCTCATCCTTGAGAATGGCCAGGGAGGCCCCGAGCTCGGAGCACCGTTCCTGAGCCTGCTCCCAGCTCCTGGAATCCCTTGACAAGTAGTAGCAGACCCCAGTGTACCCAAACCAGCCATGGGGACAGCACTGCAGAGTCACAGGTGTGACTGGAACCTGTGGTGCTGGAGGGGGAAGAGGAGAAGGTCTGAGGATTCCCCTCTGCAGGGAGCAGGGACCCCGCTCTGCCCCGAGGGGCTGGGCCCAGCCTGCTGCCCCTCCCTTACCTGACTGCACAGCCAAGGCCACCCCCAAAGCCAGCACCAGCACCAGGAGCAGCAGAATCAGCACCGCCGTGAGCACAGGATGGGAGCTGAACCATTCACCTGGAGCAGGAAAGAGCTGCTGGCTGCCAGAGCCAGACCCGGCCCTGCAATCTGCTCACCCCGTGCCCAGGGAGCACAGGAGGGACCCCTCAGCCACTGTGCCCCTCACTCAGCTGGCAGCCAGAGAGCCAAGAGCTGGGCACAGGCAGGGACACAGCTGTGGGGACAGCCAGGGACACAGCTGTGGGCACAGGCTGCAGCAGGAGACCTGCACAGCCTTCGGGGCAGCTGGGGCTCTTGGTTCCAGCCACTGCTGGGGCCCAGCAGAGCTCGAGGCCTCTTCCAGACATCGGGAAACAGCCACACACCTGCCAGCCCTGGCCCTGGGAGGTGACACTGTCCCCTGCCTAGAGGCCACAGGGGTGGGCCTGCACTCACCCAGGAATCTTCTGAGTGGATTCGCTGTTGCTGACCTGTTCTCCAGGGACTCATTCACCCCGCCATGGGTGCTGCAGAATTCACTCCCCTCCAGCTCACAGCCCTCATCTCTCTGCCAGGAACAAACAGCACCTTGCTCCCAGGACATCAGGAGTGCTGACAAAGCCTCTCGGAGATCGCCTCGGGAACAGCTTTACACCCTGAAAGGGACACGATGCGAGGTCGCTGCTGGTCCCGGCCCCGCGGCACACCGAGGCTCAGCAGGGCGGTGCCGGCTCTGGCTGCGCTGTCCCCGCTCCCAGAGCTGCGGCAGCAGCTGCGGAGACAAGCGCAGCCTCCGGGAGCTCTGCGCTCCCCGCAGCCCCGGCCCCTGTGGCTCTGCAGCCGCTGCAGCCCAGCTCCGGGCGGCACAGCCGCTCTGGCTCCCTGCCCGTGGCCGTGAAGCGGCTCCTGGCACAGAGGGCAGCGCCGAGAAGCCTCGGCCCGGAGCGGGCAGCGTGCGGCGCGTTCTGCCCCCGCTCGGCGCCCGCAGCGCTTCGGGCTCTGAGGCACGTTCAGCTTCATCCCGCGGCAGCCCCGAGCCGGGCACGGACACCTCCCGCCCGAGCAGCGGCCCCAGCCCGCAGCGAGCCCCGAGCTGGGGCACGACCGACCGCGGGTCCCACCTGGGCCGGAGCCGCCTCCGAGCTCCGCCGCCCCGCCGGGCTCCGCTCCCGGACAGACCCAGCGGGCGCGGCCGCTGCCGCCGCACGGTGCCCGCGGTGTCGGTGCGGGAGGGATTTTGGGAGTGTGGAACAAACAGCGCCCGGGGCAGCAGCGGGGCAGGTAGGAGAGGAGCAGAGGGATGGAGCCTGTTTGGGAGTGAGTGAGCGAAAAGTGTTCGGCAGCGAGCCCGAGGCAATCGGGAGGAGCCTGGCCGGGATCCGCGGCACTCAGGACGCGTTTCCGGGGTCTGCAGTCACAACTGGTGAGTGAGGCTGCCACGGGAGGGACTTTGATAGTTGTTGTTTGTAACTGGAGACGGGCTGGAGGGAGATGTGTTGTTTGGAGGCGTCCTGTGCCATGGTGATCATGATACCACAGTGTTCTCAATATTTGGTGATATCAGGAGGAACATCAGTACAAATTTTGTACTGGGCTTCAGGAGGGCAGACTTTGGTCTATTTGGGAGACTTATTCAGGAAACTCCTTGGGAATCAGCCCTAAAACCAAAGGAGTCCAGGAAAGGTGGTATGCTTCAAAGCAGAGATCTTGAGGGCACAGGAACAGCCTGTCCCTGAGTGCCCAAAGATGAGTCAATGAGGCAAATGTGCAGCCTGGATGGGCAATGAGGTTTTGAAGGAATTTAGGAATAAAAGTAGGTCATATCAGCTTTGGAAGGATGGTCAGTGTCTTGGTTTGAAAAGACAGGAGTCTGTGAAGGAAGGACAAAGCCTCCTGTGAAATAGAAAAGGTAAACCCCCTCTCTCTGAATTACCACAATTTCAAAATTAAAAGGCTCTCAGGCAAAGATATGGGAATGGGAATAACAGTTCTTTACTAGGAGAAAAATTAAATTTTATAAAAATATAATTAGTACAAACAAAACTTCTGATGGAGTCAGAAACCTGACACCCTGAGGAGTCAGGGTGTTGGTAATAGTCCAGTTAAATGCTGGCTGTTCCTCCTGGAGTGGCAGATGAAATGCTGCTGAAGTGGTGATCCTGTAGAAGGGTGGAGTTTTCTCTGAAGGTCTGGTGATAGAGTAGATGGGCCTGGTCTTCTTCTGGGGATTTAGCAGGGAAAAAGCTGCTCCTCTGGGAATCTAGCTAAGAGGCTCTTCTGATGTCCCAAAAAATGCTGATTTTATGCAGGTAAGGATGCATGGCTCCTCCGTCTGGGTGGAGCATCTCACAATGGGATGATGGAACTTTCCCAGTCATGCAGTGAGTCATTCCATGGCCCATTAACAGAAGATATATGCCGGAGGGCGACATTGTTCTTGGGAGAGATAAGAAACCTGCCCAACCTCCAACAGATGGCAAATGGAATACATGCTTGTCTTACAAGCCAGGACAAACACAAGCATATTTATGTCAGCTATTTATAAGTTTAAGTTAACAACAGAAATATAAACTATATATTTTTAGCAAAGTTACTTTAACACGACAAATATAGAATCCATTTTAATATTTACAAAAAGCCAATACTATAATATAGATCTATAACACAGTGTTAATTTTTAACACTTCACCTGAAATCATTGTTTTCCAGTTGATTTTGGTGTTGAGACCATTCAGTGTAGCTGCTCTCCATACAAAGAAACCTTTAGACATGTTTAATCTTACTGCCAGTAGAAGAGAATTTTCAGTAATTTCTGCAGTTTGTAGTAGTAGTCTTAGTATTTCTGTGCTTCAGCAGTGTTCATCCAGCCACACTTCATGGGAAAACAGAATTCCCAAAACCCAAATGTTTCAAGTTTGATGTAAAGTGTTTCTCTATTTTATGTTCTTTTGTATGTCAGAGAAGATTTGGGTTTAAAAGATGAAAATCTGCCTCTCTTAAAAAAAAAAAAAAAAAAGAGAAATTTTACTTCTATGGAACCCCAATTTTACCTCAGATGTCTATGATTCCTTTTTTTTTATTTTTCTTTCGCCCTGAATGTGAATGCAATTTTCAGCACCAGCTGGGCTTTGTGGGAAATGCCGTTGGGTGCCCACAAGAAAAGTTCCTCATGTTAGCGGCTCAGAGCATGGTGAGGTTTCAGCATTTCCTCCTGTCAGGTGGGATCTGAAGGCCCTGAGGTGGCCTTGTCTCCTCAGAGATTTCCTGCCCTGAGGAAGCAAAGGCTGATTGAATGTGCCTGATCCTCTCCTGTCTAATGGGGAGGAGCAGCAAACAGCAGAGCTGGAATCACCTTCTCTGCTCCTGATTTCTCCTGCCAACAGATCTCTTGGCTCTGCCAGGCCCAGAAGTCACTTTTCCTTTGGGATGGATGGCCTGAAGGCACCCAGGTGCTGCAGGGCAGCCCTGCTTCAGAAATCCTTTTGCCTTGGAAGCATCCTTCTACCTAAGAGCTGGATTTGGAAATAGATGTAGTGAGGCCAGGGAGCTAACTCAGAAATGTCAGTAGGATCCCAAAGAAAAAGATCCCCAGAAAAGAGTGCAGTTATTTTTATAACAAAGTTTCTAGCAGAAGTTTCTGGGCTCCAGGTGAGCCATGGAATAGTTTAGCAGTGTCAGAAACAGCACATCCACTCTTGGCCAGGAGCTCCCAGCTCTTCCCATGGCACTGGCAGTGGTTTCTGTCAGGATGTTTTACCCAGCAGAAATCCAAGGTGACCGCAGGATGTGAAGTTATCTGGCTATAAAGTGAAACTTGCTTTATGGTTCCCATTTAACCTCCTGCTAACCAGGTGCAGCTGCCCTCCTGCCTGTGGCTGCCCTCTGACTGCTGGGTCTCAAAGGCTTTGTTACACCACAGGGATCCAGATGCTCATAGAATCTCTGGCACTGCTGTAGAAAACTGAATCTATGCCTTGTAAAAGTGTACCTTAGGTCAGCACTGACAGCTGTACATAACAAAGTGATTTTCTGTCAGAATGAACCCAAAATTCTTTAAAAAACAGGAGACCTTACACTGATGATAATTATTTATTAGAAATTACAGTTGTTTTCTACTCCAATACCCATGCCTAACACAGACACCTTTCCCCCTTTCAGTCCAAGAAGAAATCTCGATGAAAAACTGTGTTTCAAAGTCACTGTCACCCCTGCAGAGAGGCCTGGAGCTTTCCTTACCCCATCCCCAGGGGACTGTGAGCTGCCCTCCCCAGCAGCAGAGGCCACACGTGCCCTCCTCAGTTCAGAAGTCAAAGGTGCCCCTTGACAGAGCACGAGCTCCTAAGGCACTGGGGTAAGGAGTTGTCAGTTCCCAGCCCAGCATCCCATGGTGATGTGAGGGTGAAAAATGCCACGCGTGCTGTGCACTAGCAGCGATCCTCAATCCATCTTTCCAGCGCTCTCCTTGGAGCTGCTCAGGCTCCTGGGGAAGACAGGCCAGCCAAACGTGCTCAGTCTGGCCCTTGCAGGGTGAGGGGCAAGAAGCAAGAATGCAGCGTGGTCTCTTTGACCTTTCCTGTAGCAGGATTTCTGAGAGAGACAGGACACGATTTATATTTGGAGTGAAGGTGGAGCTACCCCAGCCTAGGCCTCAGTCACGGCCTCAGTGAGGCCTTTGAAGCCTCTGGCACAGTTGGAAATTAGTCTGTGCACAGTTAGCAATTATGTTAAGGTGTAAGCAGAGAGCAATGGGCTTTCTGAGTGTGAATTAGTATATATAGGTCTGCAGTGTGAAACTTTAACCACCTTAAGACAAAGACAAACAATGTTTGCTTGCCAAGGAGAGTGTGCTCACAATTGTAAACTATATTCAAGTGTATATAAACGGCCATCTTATAAGCAATAAACAGAGAACATTTGATTAACCCCATTGTTTCGTATCTATGTCTGTCCTGTCTAGCCTGACGATTAATACGAGGTCTCTTGCATTATCTGGCACCACGAACAAGGGACTCGGAAGACTCCAATGAGTTCCCAAATCACCTTCATGGCAACGGGAGACTGTCTCCAAATCGTGTGAAAGACAGGACCGGGGACACAGATGGCTCTGGATACATGGCTCCGTGCATCCCACTGCTTTCCCTCCTCCAAAAACAGACCTAAATATATATTTTTATTTATATATATATGTGTATGTATATATAAACTTGTAGTTTTTTATGTGTCACTACCCAGCTCTGCTGGCTGGAGCAGCTCCTGGCTCTCTGTGCATGCTCTGCTCTCATAAGGAGAAGAATTTGCCTAAATGTATAAGTTTCCCAAAAGGTGGATGTAAAGTTTTGTGCAGTGATTTCCATCAAATTTAATAGTGCTGCAGTTCCCATTAAATCCCCATAAACAGGGATATCTGCCATCACTGTGATCCACTGCTGTTCGAACCCATGCTCCCCAAAAACTGCTGCCATCAGAACGGGGCGCTAGGCCAAGTGCTAAACCTCTCTGGGACTGTGGTGCTCCCTAGGCCGGGCAGTTCCCTTGTGCCAGCAGCGGTGGGTAACCACTGTAAGGCTCCATTACCCTCTCAAATAATGAAACACACGAGGCTGTGCTGTGGACGTTGCCTTCAGTGCTCAGCCCTCAGTGGGGAGGGCCCTTTCAGGTGCTGCTCACCACTGAATGGGCTGTGCCAAGCGCAGAGCGAGAGCGGCTCACGCCAGCAGAATGAAAGGCTGGGGAAAGAACCCAGAGAATAGACTGCAGCATCCAGACTGGGTCAGAGATAACCAGAGAAGCTCAAGGATGTCCCAAAACTGGAGTCGAGCTCCCACCAGCTTGAAGATGAACTCACACTTTAGGTGGGGAGTTTGAACTGTATCATTTATTAATGGAATTGTCCTGTTTTGATAGATGAGAATTACAAGCATCTGTTGAGGGGAAATACACAGAGAACTGTAAAGAGGTATTGGACAGGTATCCTTAAGAACCAAAAAGTAAAGTAGGACAAGAAATAGAGGACAAGACCAGGTTGGCCCCTGTGTTCCCCACTGAGAAGGTTCCATAGCCCTGCTGTGGGCAGCAATCCCATAGGCATGGTAAGGTGGGGGCAAGAAAGCCACACCAGAGCTCTGTCATTCCTCAGCTGCCTCTAAATACAACAGGGACTAGAAGGCAAGGCTGGCTTGGCCCCTGTACTCACCACTGAGATACACCTGCTATGGGCAGCAGCCCCATGGGCACGGCAGATGGGGGTAAAAAAGCCATACCAGACCTCAGTGATCCCATTTGGTCCACTCCAAGTAAGTGTGTCTAAAGAACACCTGAGATGTTTTCCTTCTGTTCCCACTGTCCTTGCCCACATCAACAGATGCTAGTATAACTCATTAATTTATTTTAGAGGAGTAGATTATCAGAATTCAAATGAGAGTTAATTGTTTGAGCCACATGACTCAAATGAAAGGAAAGAAGTGTGACTTGTTATAGATGAATGATGTGATGGGTGGCTCTCACAATTAAGAGATAGATATGACGTGTATATTAGGAGAATTTTTGTACATGTATAGTGCTGTTACTGTAATATGACCTCCCACAGTGCCCTTTCCCCTCCCCCTTGTGACAGCCTCAGCAGCCAGGGCATTTGGGGAGGGCTGGTTTATAACCAGGAGGGGCGACAGGACAGCACCTGAGCTCCAGTCGAGATATAAGGAAGAGATCTGCACCAGTGCACGGCAGAGAAGGGTTCACTGACACAGCTTTGGGAGGGGCTGAGGGTATAAAAGGCAGAGCACCATTTTGTAAATGGGCACGTGGCTGATAGTCCCAGAGAACCCAGTGCTGTAATTTTTCCTTATTCAGTCACTTGTATTTTTTGTTAAGGTTTAATGAACCTTTAAAATTTTAAAAGTCAGGGTCATTTCTCCCATCTTCCAAGGACCATCCAAAAGTGTCACCTTCAGACCAGTTTGTGATGACTTCCAAGAGCCCAGGGCAATTTGGATTTCCCAGTCAGGTTTGTTGTATAATGTTATAAAAAACAAATGCAGTTATTGGCTTTCCCATTTATGTATTAACTTTTGTTTTGCAAGCTATTACTGATCACAAAAATGCTGATAAAGTACCATTTGTCATTACTCCTTTTGATACAGTATAACCTGTCAGTTTATGTATACACCGTATAGCTTTTATAAATACTGGTGCAATATACACAACCTTAGACCATAGGATATTAGAGACTATGAAATGTTGAAATTATTTTTTTAATGTAACTAACTCAGAAAAAGGTGTAAAATAATTAAGGGAGTTCCCACATTCAGGGACTATTTTATCTGAAAGACAAGATCTTGGAAAGAGAAGACAGAGGGAAAAAAAAAAGAAAAAAGAGGAATTTACAGGCCCTCGTTATCAGGGAATGAAAATGTACAAAATAGAACCACAAGACAAAAAAAAAATCTTAGTTTAATAGACAAGATGGCAGGAAGACACTCTATAGTGTCTAAAGAGAATATAATTTAAGTTCACTCTGTTCAAATAACCAATCATACCAAAGTGGGATTTTATCCCTTTTATCCCTTAATAAAGAAATATAAAAATTTTTAATAGAGAACCGTGTTTCTCACAAATAATGAGGACAATCCACTCACTGCAGGCAGCACCAGTGGCAGGATGTACAGCAGAGACTTTTCCCCTGAGCACCCAGCCCAGCGCTGGCACTGGGGATGAACAGGCACTGAGGTGACCCTGAGAGTCAGTGCAAGGCACAGGGTGCAGCTGAGGAAGGACAGCGCTGTGCTGGGCTCACAGCTGGAGCTGGCACTGCCCAGCGTGGACAAGGTCCTTTCTGCAGCCCTGTCACAGGGCAGCTTGGGCCTTGCTGCAGACATACGGCCGCTCGTTTGAGCAGTTCTCACTCCTGAATCTGTTCTCAGCCAGGTACACACACTGGGAACTGCCAAAGACAGGAAAGCTGCAGGGAGGAGCAGAGACAGCGCTGGTTCCCAGGTATCTTAGGTTGGAAATAGGGGTATTCTATTCCCATCTCTTAGAGGTGAGGCAGTTCTCTTCTGTTCATTGGGTAGTTTTTCTTTATCTCTTCCACAACCAATCCCCCTCCAGGAGATCTCTTCTGTTCACGGGAAGTGAGTGTCCCTGTATGGCTGATAAAATTCCATCATCCCATGGGGAGTTGCTCCACTCAGAGGGAGAAGCCAAGCACTCCTGCCTGGATATAATCTGACCTGGGAACAGCACAGCAGCCTTTGTCCACTGCATTCCCAGAGGAGCAGCTTTCTTCCCACTGCATTCCCAGAGGAGCAGCTTTCTTCTTCACTGAATTCCCAAAGGAAGACAAGGCCCATCTACACCACCCCTGAACCTTCAGAGGAAAACTCCACTCTTCTCCAGGATCCCTACTGCAGCAGAACCAGAGCTTGTGCTGCAGGAGGGCTGCAGCCACCCAGGAATGGGACTGCTGCCAGCACCCTGACCCACAGGGTGTCAAGTCGTATTCTGATCCTGTCAGAAGTTTTTTTGTTTGTTTGTACTACTACATTTGTATTTTTCATTTTCCTACTAAAGAACTGTAATTCCTATTCCCATTTCTTTGCCTGAGAGGCCCAAAATTTAAAAATTATAATAATTCATAGGGAGGAGGTTTACATTTTCCATTTCAGAGAAGGCTCCTGCATTCCTTAGCAAAACACCAGGCTTTTCCAGCCAAGACACCAGGGGAACACCTTGTGCCCCTGTCCCCCCAGGCCCTGCCCGGCTCCCCGGCACTCACCTGGAGCTGTAGCTGCTGCCGTCCCCCCAGTGCAGGCGCTCGCCCCGCCTGCGCAGCCCGATCCAGTAATCCACGTTCCCGCGGAGGCGGAAGAGCAAATCCTGCCCAGGAGAGAGGAGTGGGAGCTGCCCCGGCCCCTCGGGGGGACACGGGCCCGGGGCTGCCCCCGCACGCCGGGGCTCCTTCCCTGCAAGGCCCCGGCACAGGGCTGCACCCCCAGCCCTACGAGCACCCAGCCCGGCCCAGGAGCACCCCCAGGCTCCCCTCAGCCACCCCACACCGCCCACAGCCCCTCACTCACCATGGCCTCATCCTTGAGAATGGCCAGGGAGGCCCCGAGCTCGGAGCACCGTTCCTGAGCCTGCTCCCAGCTCCTGGAATCCCTTGACAGGTAGTAGCAGACCCCATTGGACCCAACCCAGCCATGGGGACAGCCCAGAACCAACTGCGCAGTCGCAGGTGTGACTGGAACCTGTGGTGCTGGAGGGGGAAGAGGAGAAGGTCTGGGGATTCCCCTCTGCAGGGAGCAGGGACCCCGCTCTGCCCCGAGGGGCTGGGCCCAGCCTGCTGCCCCTCCCTTACCTGACTGCACAGCCAAGGCCACCCCCAAAGCCAGCACCAGCACCAGGAGCAGCAGAATCAGCACCGCCGTGAGCACAGGATGGGAGCTGAACCATTCACCTGGAGCAGGAAAGAGCTGCTGGCTGCCAGAGCCAGACCCAGCCCTGCAATCTGCTCACCCCGTGCCCAGGGAGCACAGGAGGGACCCCTCAGCCACTGTGCCCCTCACTCAGCTGGCAGCCAGAGAGCCAAGAGCTGGGCACAGGCAGGGACACAGCTGTGGGGACAGCCAGGGACACAGCTGTGGGGACAGCCAGGGACACAGCTGTGGGGACAGGCTGCAGCAGGAGACCTGCACAGCCTTGGGGGCAGCTGGGGCTCTTGGTTCCAGCCACTGCTGGGGCCCAGCAGAGCACGAGGCCTCTTCCAGACATCGGGAAACAGCCACACACCTGCCAGCCCTGGCCTTGGGAGGTGACACTTTCCACTCTCTAGAGGCCACAGGGGTGGGCCTGCACTCACCCAGGAATCTTCTGAGGTTCCTTTTCAGGACATTGCTGATTGCTGTTTTATTCTCCATTGGTGCCTTCTGCAGCTCATGAACAGAGCAGAATTCACTCTCCTCCAGCTCACAGCCCTCAACTCTCTGCCTGGAGCACACAGCACCTTATTCCCGAGCCATCAGGAGTGCTGACAAAGCCTCTCGGAGATCGCCTCGGGAACAGCTTTACACCCTGAAAGGGACACGATGCGAGGTCGCTGCTGGTCCCGGCCCCGCGGCACACCGAGGCTCAGCAGGGCGGTGCCGGCTCTGGCTGCGCTGTCCCCGCTCCCAGAGCTGCGGCAGCAGCTGCGGAGACAAGCGCAGCCTCCGGGAGCTCTGCGCTCCCCGCAGCCCCGGCCCCTGTGGCTCTGCAGCCGCTGCAGCCCAGCTCCGGGCGGCACAGCCGCTCTGCCTCCCTGCCTGTGGACGGCGGAACCCGGCACAAGGAACTCGCCAGAACCCCCCTGGCCCTCAGCGCGGCCCCTCCGCCCGCAGCGAGCCCCGAGCTGGGGCACGACCGACCGCGGGTCCCACCTGGGCCGGAGCCGCCTCCGAGCTCCGCCGCCGCCCCGCCGGGCTCCGGTGCCGCCGCCGCTCCTCAGGGACTCGAACGCGGCGGGTGCGGCACCGACCCCTATTTATGATCGCTCCGTTTGGGGTGGGACGTGATTCTGACTTTTGGCCAAGCAGCCCACGGGGGAAGCGGCAATCACGGTACCGGGAGGAGTCCCGGGATGGAAGTTGGCGAGAGCTGCAGCGCGGGGGAGATTTTGGCAGCGAGACCGAGTTTGATAAATGAGGGGGAACTCCGCACAGCTGAAATAGGGCGCTGGCTGAGCATGAGTCACAATTGGTGAGGGAGCCTGCCAGGGAAGGGACTTTGTTAGTTGTTGTTCGTAAATGGAGATGGGCTGGCGGGAGATGTGCTGGTTGGAGGCCTCCTGTGCCATGGTGATCATGATACGACAGTGTTCTCGATATTTGGTGGTAGCTGGAGGAACATCAATAAAACTTTTACATTAGACTTCTGGAGCGCAGACTTTGACCTAGTTAGGAGACTTAGTCAGAAAGTTCCATGGGAAGCAGCCCTTAAAACCAAAGCAGTCCAGGAAAGGTGGCATCCTTCAAACCAGAGATCTTGAGGGCACAAGAACAGACTGTCCCTGAGTGCCCAAAGATGAGTCAATGAGGCAAACGTGCAGCCTGGATGGGCAACAAGGTTTTGAAGGAACTTAGGAATAAAAGGAGGATGTATCAGCTTTGGAAGGAGGGTCAGGTTTCTCAGGAAGTATTTAAGGGTGGTGCTAGGATAGGTAGGAAAAAAATTAGGGAGACCAAAGCTCAGTTTGAACTTAATTTGACAACTTTTGTAAAGGATAATAAAGAATGTTTTTACACATGTATTGATGGTAAAAGCAAGGGTAAGACCAGGTCTTGTTCTCTTTTGGATGCAGGAGGAAACTTAGTAACTGCAGGTGATCAGAAGGCAGAGGTGCTCAGCGCCTTCTTTGCCTCAGCCTTTAGTGGGAAGAGGGCTTGTCCTCAGCACAAGTGTCCACCTGGGCTGGTAGATGGTGTCAGGGAGCAGAATGGGCCCTGTTCTCCAGGGGGAGGCAGTCAGAGAACTGCTGAGAGGATGGATGTTCATAAATCCATGGGCCCAGATGGGATCCACCCCAGGGGGATGTGGGAGCTGGCAGATGAGCTTGGGAAGCCACTCTCCATCATTTACCAGCAGCCCTGGCTCACTGGCAAGGTTCCAGCTGGCTGGAAGCTGCCCAGTGTGACACCATTCACAGCAAGGGTGGGAAGGAGGATCCTGGTAATTACAGGGCAGTCAGCCTGGCCTCAGTACCCAGTAAGGTCATGGGGCAGTTTGTATGGATTTCACCAGGCAGCACTTACAGGATGGCCAGGGCATCAGACCCAGCCAGCAGGGCTTTAGGAGGGGCAGGGCGTGTTTGACTGGTGGGGAAGATGAAATAGGAAAGCCTTATAAATATGATTGCCTGGCAAAAGATTTGGGAAATACAGAAACTATAAGCAAGATTGAAATGAGAACAAGCTTTGAGATGCCAAACCTTAGATGCTAAACAACTAGAAAACAACAGTATAGCTAGTTGAAGGCAATCCCCCTTTTTGATTGAACAATGCCCTCTACCTACAGGCAGATCCAAGGGTCAAATGGAATGTTCTGTGTCACCCTTCAAAAAAGGTGTATAGTTTATCCCACATCAGTAACCCTGCCCTGAAGCATCAGGTATCTGTGATCCCATTGGCCCAAGTCTTATTCCAGCCCACTCTGGAGCCCCCTGATAAGGTGTACCCGGGGGACCAGACACCCTCTTGGAATCCTCTCCCTCCCCTTCTCTCTGCTCACTTGGACTCACGCCCTGCTCTCTTCCCCCCTCCTCTCTATCTCTGTCTCTGTTTCTGTTTCACCCTGCCCCCACTCCTTGGGGCCTGCTGTGACCTGCATTTGGCAGCTCCATGCAGGGCCATCACACCCACACCCTTTGCAATAAACCTGATATTCCAAGACCTGACATCAGAGATGTCTCGTCTCCATCCGTCCCGACCCTGCAGGACACCAGCGCTCCCTACACTGGACCAACCTGGTCTCCTTCCATGAGCAGGTGACCTCCTGGTGGATGCAGGACAGGCTGTGGCTGTTTGGGCTCCAGCAAGGCCTTTGGCTCTGTCTCCCACAGCACTCCTGGAAAAGCTGCAGCCCACGGCTGGGCCAGGAGCGCTCTGTGCTGGGCTCAGAACTGGCTGCATGGCCGGCCCAGAGAGTGCTGGTGAGCGGTGCTGCACCCAGCTGGGGACAGGCACCACTGCTGTCCCCCAGGGCTCTACGCTGGGCCAGCTCTGTTCCCATCTGGGCCCATGGATTTATGAACATCCATCAGCTCAGCAGTTCTCTGGCTGCCTCCCCCTGGAGAACAGGGCACATTCTGCTCCCTGAAACCATCTACCAGCCCAGGAGGACACTTGTGCTGAGGACAAGCCCTCTTCCCACTGAAGGCTGAGGCAAAGAAGGCATTGAGCACCACTGCTTTCTCCTCACCTGCAGTTACTAAGTTCCCTCCTGCATCCAAAAGAGAACAAGACCTGGTCTTACCCTTGCTTTTACCATCAATACATGTGTAAAAACATTCTTTATTATCCTTTACAAAAGTTGTCAAATTAAGTTCAAACTGAGCTTTGGTCTCCCTAATTTTTTTCCTACCTATCCTAGCACCACCCTTAAATACTTCCTGAGAAACCTGACCCTCCTTCCAAAGCTGATACATCCTCCTTTTATTCCTAAGTTCCTTCAAAACCTTGTTGCCCATGCAGGCTGCACGTTTGCCTCATTGACTGATCTTTGGGCACACAGGGACAGGCTGTTCCTGTGCCCTCAAGATCTCTGCTTTGAAGCATACCACCTTTCCTGGACTGCTTTGGTTTTAAGGGCTGCTTCACAAGGAGTTTCTGAATAAGTCTCCCAAATAAGCCAAAGTCTGTTCCTGTCTGCTGCACTCCCCCGGGGCGTCTTTTAATCAGACTGCTACTCAGTGATGGAGGAAGCACTACCCTGCTCCTGCCTGACTCACAGTCCCTTGGCAGAGCTATTTTTTGAGGGTCTCAGTAAAGGCAGCGAGAGATCTCTCACCCATCATGGGCGTAACTGGGGAATGAGACCTGGACTGGGGAAATTAATTTAGTTTATTATCAAACAAATCAGAGCAAGGGAATGAGAAGTGTGCCAAATCCTAAAAAGGCACCTTCCCCACACTGTTCTCTCCTTTCTGGGCTTCTCTTTATCCCCGATTCCCTCCCTCCTCCTCTCACGGTGGCACAGAGGGATGGGGGTGTTTTGGTTAGAAAGGCAGGGGTCTGCTAAGGAAGGCAGAAGGAAGGAAGGCATAATTGTGAAACGAAGGGTGTCTCAGGCAGAGCGCTGAGGACAGAACCACAGCCCTTTCCCAGCGTGCACAGGCTCACGAAGCCGCAGCGCGGCCCGGCCCGAGCAGACACAAACCCGGCCCGGCCCCGCTCGGCCGCGGGGAGTTCCGGGCACGGCCGGCAGGGGCGCTGGCGGGTCCCGCCGGGCGGGCGGAGCCGTGCCTCCCCCCGGTGCAGGGCGGGCCCGGCGGGAGCGGCCCGGCCGAGGCCTCGCCTCGCCTCACGGGCCCGGCGGGAGCGGCCCGGCCGAGGCCTCGCCTCGCCTCACGGGCCCCGTGGGAGCGGCCCGGCCGAGGCCCCGCCTCGCCTCGCGGGACCGGCGGGAGCGGCCCGGCCGAGGCCCCGCCTCGCCTCACGGGCCCCGTGGGAGCGGCCCGGCCGAGGCCCCGCCTCGCCTCGCGGGACCGGCGGGAGCGGCCCGGCCGAGGCCCCGCCTCGCCTCGCGGGCCCCGCGGGAGCGGCCCGGCCGAGGCCCCGCCTCGCCTCGCGGGCCCCGCGGGAGCGGTCCGCGGCTCTCCGAGCGCGGGGGGCAGCGAGCGGCGCCGGCAGCGGGCTCGGCAAGGAGGGCCGGGGCTGCGCCGCGCTTCTGTCACCTTCTACTGACACAGCAATGCGGATGTGCTCTAAAAGGTTTGAGCTGTGATCAGTCTCGATGAGGAGTGAGAGCTAAGAGATGCGAGGTCAGTGCTATTCTATGAAAAGCTCACTTATTTCCTGGGTACAGTATCTGTGAAAAACGCCAATCACTTGGTTTTTATAATTTTAAACGTTTAATAATAATAAAATGGTTATAAAAATAGTAATACAAATAGAGTAATAAAATGTAGAGTTAGGACAATTACAAGACAATAAAAAACAACTAATTACAGAGGTTCGGATGCTCTCAGGCACTTAAGCACTGACAAGCACGCCTTGGGAACAAAGGAGTAACTTGTAAAACAATACACTGCTGTATATTCATATACACTTCATGGTTATGCCTACATTCCATTTGAAACAGGAAACTGTTTGTTACATGTTAACTGCTTCTTTTAATCCCTACGGTGTCTTCGAGTCTGAGCAAGGCTTGAAGAAATTAGCTTCTTCTGATAAGAAAACCATAAATTCTGCTTCCTAGGAAGATTTACGTGTTCTGCGACTGTTATCTTGAAGCG